ACGATGGGAACAGCCTCCTCATTTCTCTCCTCCTACTCCTCCTCCTCCTCCTCATCCTCCTTCTCCTCCCCATCCTCCCTCACAACGTCCTCGTCATCGGCGTCCTCGTCGTCATCTTCCTTCCCGCCTCCGCGTTTTCAGCGTCTTCGGTGTCCTCCGCGTTCTCCGCGTCCCCCGCGCCCTCGTAGTCTTCATCCTCCCCACCTCCGTGCGCGTCGTTATCCCTCCCAGTTCCACGTCGTCTCGTCCCCATCTTCAGTGCCCTCGTCTCGCCCTGCATCCTCAGAGTTCTCGCTGTCCTCACCCACAGGCTCTTCTCCTGTACCTCTCCTCCCTCGTGTTGCCGTCCTCACCCTCCCGCCCCTGTTGTACAGAGCGCCCATGGCCCAGGGTTCGTAACATTCTAGTGCGAAACGATCTGCGGAGGGCCGCGAGAAGGCGATCAGCCATGTTCCCGATCAACTTCCCAGACAGCTCTCAGGTAAGCATGATGGTACTTCGAAGCCTCCGGAGACTCGCGGGCCCATGATGAACCATGTCCCTGGAAGGCTTTCAGGGGGCACGGATTGTTGGGGTGTGTTGGGGGGTCTCTTGGGCGTTCCCTGGGGGCCCAATGGGGCCCTCCGGGAACTCTCGGGCCCATGATGAACCATGTCCCCAGAAGGTTTTCTGGGGACATGACTTCTTGGGGTGTGTTGGGGGGCCTCTTGGGCGTTCCCTGGGAGCCCCTTGGGGGTCTCTTGGGGCTTCCTGGGGGCCTCTTGGGCGCCTCACGGGGCTTCGTGGGAGCCTCTTGGTGGCCTCCGGGGGCCTACAGGCGGCCTAGGGCCACAGACATCGAAATATCGGTTGGCGGTCCCCCTCTGGGCCCTCTCTTGGGGAGCTCTTGGGGCACAATTGGGTTGTATGGGGAGCCTCCTGGGCCGTCTTGGGGCCCTCTTCTGGGCCTCGTGGCCCGTCTTGGAGCGCTCTGAAGGGCCTCCGAGCGAGGCCGTGAGGGAGCGCTGGGAAACGGGGGAAGCGAGAACGCCTAAATCCTTCAAAAACCATCCGAAAATTAGTGAATCTTGCCTCCCAGGGCCCTCTTGGGGAGCCTCTTGAGTCCTTCCTGGAGCGTGTTGGAGTCCTCGTCGGCCGTCTTGAGGGCATATCGGGCGTCTTCGGGGCCTCGTGGGACCGGCTTGAGTCCTCTCGGGACCTCCATTACCCTGTCGTGACCTGCTTCGGGGCGGGCCCGGGCCGCCTCGGGACCTGAGCCTTCTCTTGGCGTGCTCTTGGGGCACAATTGGGTTGTCTGGGGAGCCTCATGGGCCGTCTTGGGGCCCTCGTCGGGGCCTCGTGGGCCTTCTTGGAACGATCTGCAGGGCCTCCGAGGCCATGAGGGAGCGCTGGAAAGCAGGAAAAGCGAGAACGCCAAAATCCAAAACACGCGGAAAACGAACGAATCTTGCTCTCCAGGGCCCTCTTGGGGAGCCTCTTGAGTCCGTCCTGGAGCGTGTTGGAGTCCTCGTCGGCTGTCTTGAGGGCATATCGGGCGTCTTCGGGGCCTCGTGGGACCAGCTTGAGCCCTCTCGGGACCCCCTTAGCCTGTCGTGGCCTGCTTCGGGGCGGGCTCGGGCCGCCTCGGGAGCTCTGGACCCCCCCCCCGCAACCCCCGGTGGGCACCGATGAAGGGAACAGGCAGCGGCCCGCCCCCTCCCCCGGGGCCTACTCCGAGATTGAGAATCATGTTCCCGAGAAGCTTTCCGGGAGCATGATTTGTTCGGCTCTCTAATAGGGGGGCCTCTGGGGGCTTACCGAGGAGCGCCTTTTGGCCTTGTCGGCAAGCCTATTGGAAACATGGTTGGGGCGGTGGGCAGAAGCCCAAGGAATCATGTTCCCGGAAAGCTATCTGGGAAATACGATTTACCGTAGTGTCTTGGGGGCCCGCAGAGAGCTTCCCTGGGGGTCCCGTAAAGGCCTATTAGGGCTTCCAGGGGGCCTCTTGGGAGCCTCACGGGGCTTCTTGGGAGCCTCTTGATGGCCTCTGGGGGCGTCCTAGGAGCCTCTCAGGCCGGAGACCTTGAAATGTCGCGCTCTTCGGGCCCTCTTGGGTCGCTCTTGGGACTCTCTTGGGGCGCTCTCGAGGCCCTCTTGACTTATCTGGGGAGCCTCCTGGGCTGTCTCTGGGCTTTCTTGGGAGCCTCTTCGGCCGTCTTGGGGCGATCTGAAGGGCCTCTGACGCGGTCCGGGACCTTGGGGAGGCGCAACATGGGAGAGTGCAAGAATGCTTCAAAAACCATTGGAAATGCATGATTTTCAGCTTCTGGGGCCCTTTGGAGGGGCCTCTGGAGGCGCTCTTGGGGCGTTTTGGCGGCGTCGTTGGCCGTCCTGAGGCCATCTTCGGCGTGCCCGGGGCCTCTGGGGGCTGTCTTTGGGCGTCCTGGGAACCCGTGAATTATGTTCCCGGAGAGGCTTCCGGGAGCATGATTTCGAACGAGGCCCTCTTGGGCCTCCTGGAGGCCGTCTTGAGGGCCTCCTGGGCCAGCTTTGGGGCCTCTTGGGCCGTCTTGGGAGGTTCCGTGAGCCGAGCAGAGGGCTGTCGTGGGGCTCGTCAAACGCGTCTGGGGCACTGCGAAGACGAAGCAAGCGAGTATGCTGAGAATGTACATTTTACTACGGGAACGGGCTGATTTTTGCCTCTTGAAGGCCCTATTGGGGCCCTCGTCGGCCATCTTCAAGCCATCTCGGGCCCTCTTGGGCCTCGCTGAGGCTGTCCTGGGGCCCTCTAGGGTGCCCTGGGAACCCGGAAAACATGTTCCCGGAGAGGCTCCCGGGAACATGATTTCGAACGGGGCCCGCTTGGGCCTCCCTGCGGCCGTCTTGGGGGCCTCCTGGGTCAGCTCCGGGGCCTCTTGGGCCGTCTTGGGGGTTCCGTGAGCCCCACGGGACGACCCTGTTGGGCCGTCTGGGGCCCTCTTGGGTCTCTCTTGGGCTGGGTTGGGGCTCCGCGGGGTCGTCTGGGGCACTGTGAAGACGAAGCCAGCGAGCATGCCGAAAATGTACGCTTTACTACGGGAATGGGCTGATTTCTGCCTCTCTTGGGGCACTCTTCGGCCATCTTGAAGCCATCTCGGGCCCTCTGGGGCCTCGCTGAGGTTGTCTTGTGGGCCTCTTGGGCGTCCTGGGAGCCCAGAAGTCATGTTCCCAGAGAGGCTTCGGGGAACATGATGTCGAACGAGGCCCGCTTGGGCCTCCCCGAGGCCGTCTTGGGGGCCTCCTGGGTCGGCTTCGGGGCCTCTTGGGCCGTCTTGGGGGGTTCCGTGAGCCACAGAAGACGACCCTTTCAGGCCGTCTCGGGCCCTCTTGGGTCTCTCTTGGGCTGTCTTGGGGCTCCTCGGGGGCGTCTGGGGCACTGTGAAGACGAAGCAAGCGAGCATGCTGAAAATGCACGTTTTACGCAGGAAATGGGCCGATTTTGCCCAGCGCCGATCAAAGAAATCCGCGCGGACCTCTGGAAGCTTATGTTCGTGGAGTTCAAGGAGGAGCCGAGCAAGGACCAGTCCGCGCGGAGGGGGAGGGGGGGGCCGCGGGAGACAGGAGGCCGCCAACTGTGCACCTGCACCCATCTTGGCCAGGCGCATCCTGGGCCCGGGGTCGGTATAGAGGCCCTCTTGGCTTTGGCAAAGAAGGCGTGTGCCCTGGCCCTGGAGCCGCAGACTCCTGGGGAAGGCCACGGGATACCGATGCCGCCACCCCCTGGGACTCTCCAGGGGCGCGTTCCGACCAGGCTCGCGAGGCGAGTCCGAGTCCAGCCGAGGCGGCTGTGGCGACGAGAGAGGGGGGCAGCAGTGGGAGGGTGCACAGACCCTGGAGCAGCCAGGACCAGCCTTGGCCCTGGATGGGTGCATGCAGGGCCCTCCTGACTCGGGCGGGGAAGCGCATGGGCCGATCCTGAGCCACGGACCACCCAGACGTCCTCTGTGGTGGTGTGTGTGTGTGTGTGAGTGTGTGTGTGTTGTGTGTTGTGTGTGTGTTGTATGTGTGTGTGTGGTTGTGTGTGGGGGGTTGTGTGTGTGGTGTGTGTGTGTGTGTGCGTGTGCGTGTGTGTGTGTGTCACAACGTGGCTTCACCATTTCCTTCGCCTTCCGGGTCTTCGCCCTCGGTCCCTGTCCAAGGCGTACCTTTTCCTGCACATCCACTTCGGCACCGCCTGTTCCCCGGGCCCCGCCCGCTCCGGCCGCCTGAGGCCCCGCCTTCCTGTGCCCTGTCTCCTGAATTAAAGCTGTGCGTGGCCCGCCTAGCTTGTAGCGGAAGAGGTTCGCTCTCGCCCCGCAGATCAAAAAAGTGTGTCACAGCGTGGCTTCCCAGAGGCCTGGACCCCTCCCCTGGGACCGGCCTCTCATCCGGAAACGTTTCCTGACAATCCGGGGTGCCCAGCAAAGGCCCCGAGGGCCCGAGAAGAAGCAAGACGCCCTCCGTCGTGATTTTGATATACGGCGAGGGGACGCCAGGGCAGCCCTGGCCAGGATTGGTGCACGTGCACAGCTGCAAGACGGCGATCTATCCATAAGCACCGCCTGTAGAACAAACGTCCTGGGACCCCAGTGGGCGGCGGATATGGAAACAATTGGGCACCAGGGGGCCCAATATATCAAGATCCACAGCCCATCGAGGTCTCCGAAAGCCGATCCTCCAGGCGGCAGTTATATTTGAGTCGCCGCCTCGGATCAGCTCTCCTCGCCTTCTGTTGCTCCAGTCGGACTCAAGGACCAAATCCAAGAAATCATTTCGAGCACCCAGAAAAGTATCGAAACAGTGTCGAACGAGTATCGCCTCCCAGGGCCCGACACGTGAAACCCGCCAAGTTTCGGTACTTTCCCGGTGCTCGACGGTCTTTCTGGTGATCCAGGCGAAAGTAACAGCTGGAACATCAGAAATCCCCCCCCCCCCCGACGAGGAGGAAGCCGCCGCCCGAGGACGCGGGGGGGGGGGGGCGGCGGCGGCGGGGACGGGGCGTC